CATTGCGCGTTGCGCCTAAAGTTTTGGATCTCCAATCGATCCACGGCTCATGGCGTTCCAGCCAGGCCATACCGAAAATGAGATCATATCTCGAGTCAAAATCTAGGACAAGACAGCGTTCAACGCTATTGAAGTCTAAGAACTTCACACCTAAATTCAACGAAACTTTAGGAGCGGTGACACGTACACCTGTTGTGAGACGAACGGTTATGCTGTCACCCTCTTGCGCTTTTAGCGCCTCAGCATACAGCTGACTCCCTTCAAGGGAACGAAGTCGTAGATAATTACCCGACGCCCCTGAGTCAGTTAGAATTGACCATGGCTTCTCAAAGCCTTTAACGATTGCCGACACAACCAACAAGCCTGGCTTGTAATCTTGTTCTATGGGAGCATCCACATAACCACCTGGGGCTAAGCCCTGTTTACCTCTACCTCGTAGAGGTTCAGCATAACTTAGTTCTTTCCCATTAGGGCGTTTCGCGCCTACTGGGAGCTGACGTTTTCCCCTGCCATGCTCGCCTTTTGGCTAAGAGCAGGGTTAAGGCTCTGCCGATCCCACCAAGCTTACAAAAGGCCAGGCCAACTCGTTGCTTTTCTGACACAAGCATGGCGGTTTCCATTGCCATTTCAACCTCTCGGATCCAGAGGAGAAGATTTCTTCCCTCCTTCCCCTCCAAGTCGAGCCTTTGGCTCTGCATCGGGCACAGTACCGACCGGGATATACTGTGTAGGCGCAGCTTACGCTGCCTGGTCGTGGACCTGCCCGGGTATCGTTGTTTCATAACGCATAAAGGTCTCAAGGCAACATTAAAGACATCCGGGCCCTAGGCCAAAAGTGCCTCGATTTGATCGGGCCCAATGAACGCTGATAATTTATCTAGTGCAAGTCTTTGCGCCTCAGAGAGGTAATTTTGACTCTCCATCCTCATATAAGGTTAGTCTTAAAGATTCAGTGTAGGATTGACTACAAGTGCTACCAAGTGTAGCGGAGATACACAGCGCTTTAGTCAGAGGAATACTTTTAGGCTGAAAGCCTCTTAGTTCTATAGAACTAATCAAAGTTGACGGCTAAATCCACTTAGTTCTCAGGAACTAATTAAACGACTTAAATGTCACCCTGTTTTAAGGAACTAGGAAAGAAATTTTTAGTCTGCAAGCAATAAGCTTAAGGTTCAGAGAACCGACGCAAGAAAAAGCTAGAAGCTTAGAGGTTCAGAGAATCAACGCACGAAGTGCACAAGAGAACAAGTCAGAGGTACTTACGATCTAAAACTCAAAATGAGAACTGATTTTGTAATGGGGCACCCTACGACTATACTGATAACAGTATAGTCTACCTTCACTGATGACAGTAAAAGCAGTGTGCCACAAAACCTTTCTTACACATGAGGCAGACGAAGCTTTACTTCTAGACGACACGCTAGAAGTAGAGGAAAAGAGAACTGTATTTAATATAGTTAACTATCTTAATAAAACTAATCTGTTATAACCTATGTTAACTATATTAAACTACAACTATGTATGTTGACAACTTGCCCTCCACTCATTGCGCGCGTCCATTGGTCATGCTCAGCGCGTTGGTTGATATGATGGCCCATATCAACCAATTAGAGGGCATCTCCAACTTCAAAGAGATTTAGGGACTATATTATAGGGAAAGATAATATTGTCAAATATTATTAGTTATAATATATTTTTATTGACACTTCATATAAGTGTCAATATTATGTAACGAGCTCACCCCGTTACAATTTTTTACGCATTAAGATTTTATGAATAGTTTTACTCTAAGTACCTTACATTGAATTAATTACTATAACAGTTATTATAATATGCAGACGTTGTTATTGGACGATGTATCGTCTAAACATCTGTGTATGATGTACTTAGTAGTACTAAGTTTTCGGTTACTAACTTAGTACAGCGTTCTCGATTTCGAATCCTAAAGGGATTCTTCAACCGAAAACTTTTGGAATAATATTACAAGCGTCGTGTAACCCCGTTACAGTCCGCTTCTGGTCCACGTTGATTCAAGTAGAAAGAAAAGGCTGTAAAGACGCCCTAAATGCAGCGATTACGATACAAAACTCTCTAGGTATTTCCAGCATAGGGCAAAGTGGTTGTGAGCAGACCGCTATCTCATGTGTTCCTCATTGAGATCGTTGGCAAGCGTATTTGTTGCCGCTCTTGATGACTTGAAGCTATTGAAGGTGCACCTATCTCTTAAAAGGATCAGATTCACGTGGAGACTAAGTACAAGAAACTGACTATCAAGGACATTGTTTCATGAGTATCTCGTGAGGAAGAAGTAAGCTAGTAGTGAAGTATGGGCTAGAAAGACAAGAAAGACAAGAGAGCCTACGTCCTGCTATAAAGTAGTATAATCAATTGCTCATTAGGATGAATTTGTACTACCACGTTGTACACTCCCTCTTCAATGAAGGGTCATTTTAAGTCATGAAAGGTCATTGTTTTTTTGTAATACAAGTCCCTCGTGAACTACAGATATCCCACTACGTTTCAACTAGAATCCCGCCGTTTCGAACTATAACCCGCAATCTTTAATTGCTTGCACTTGCTGAATAAATCTCTAGAAAGGTTATGCCAATTACTACTTTGTCGTCGAAGATCGTGCTACGAGTGCATCAATTTGCATTCAACAAGAACGAAAACACGAGAGATCAAATGACATTAGTTGCAACCAACGGAATTGTGGTGGGCAAAGGGTTTCAAGCTATTTTCAAGCTTTATGATGATTCGGAGGTCGATGCTGCTCACGGGACATTGGAATGCACTCTTGGGCTCGGGGTTTGGGTCTATAGTGATCACAGTCGCTACGGTTCGATACTTAATGGAGATCAAAGTGTTCACAATAATGCAGTGGTAGTGCATCATGGTGATACGTTAAAGGTCGGTCGGACCGAAGTCTAGTTGAGTCTGATAAGGGGAACGTCGGAAGCAATTCCAGAAGAGAAGGAAGCGAACAACATAGTGTCATCAGTTGGTGTCAATCAGGAGACCGAGTTAAGTGCACGAAATATTGCACGAATGGCTCGACGTAGAGCGTCAACGTCATGGGAATCGGCGGATGCAGTGTCCAGATTACAGCAAGCTAAGGAACGACTGCCTCGTATTGAAACATTGGGGCTTGACTTTGTTGCAGTTAAAACATCCATGGCGACGCCTACGGAGTATACGGTGTCGCCACTTTCTGAGACGCGGTGGCGGATTCCTACTGCTAACACAACCGCAGATGCAGCAAAAAAATTCCCGTCTCCACTCTTAAAGCAGTACGGACATCCGCAATCGTTTCATCGACCTCGTGCGCGGTTTGTGGAAGGTTTTGACATGCCGTTCACATCAATACATCAGCAGCCAGAAGCTGAAAATTCAAGTAAGAAGGACCTCCCACCGCCTTTGGAATATTCGAGCTCTCCAGCGGTGTCTCCGTCGTCTGTAGCGGCACGGCAGCGCTACAATCTCCTTCAGCAACCACCAACTAGTGTACCTGTCCCAGTGTCTGCATTGATCGCTAAAGTGTCGCCCCCGCCAACAAGTACAGGTGGCTGGCCAAGCTCGCGGCGTGACGATCTTCGCATTCAGGTGTCCAAGAAGATGGCTGCGGCAGCGCCAGTGGGTGCTGGCAAGGCTACTGTTCCCCGCGTACTTCCAGGAGCACTGGAACCTCAACCACCTGCGTCACCTGTGGCACAAAGAGACCTTTTAAAACAACAACTATCACTGCAGACCATTCTGCAGGCCAAATTTGAAGAGAAAAAACTACTCAAACAGCAGCAGAAGGAGTGGATGAGACAAACGATGATGTCTGTCATCTCCAACAACAACGAGATGCTAGCTTCCACGCTGCATCCTCCTGTCGAGAATGAGAAAACGTCGCTTGACACTGACCCGAATGAGTTGGTACTGTTTCCCGCACCAACTCCAGTACCCTTACTTGGACTTAGGCAGCACCAGATTCTGAAACCAACTTCACGAGTTTCAGCAGCCACATTAGCGTCCCGAGCACGTCTTAACAGCTTCGAAGAAAGATTCAATGAAACAAGGTGCAATGCTAAGAAGGGACGTCATAAGACTACAGCGCTGGCAAGCGAATTACACAAATGGGAGGTCAGACACCGCAATCCCGCCAAGGAAATTGAGCTGCGCAGCTCAGATGAAAGCGTCATTTTCACAGCAACTACGATGATTACTTGTCAATGGCGTGCCATGAGCTCGGTACGTCATTCACAGATTGTCCGTTTATCGACTCGACCTCTTGTTTTCGTTAACGTTTGTTGCTGTTTACTCCCACAGCTCTCATCAAGTTGTACCAGCTCCGTTGATCTTTGCGATTTCCTCGGTTATGAGGAAGAGGAGGATACGGACGACATGATCACGTCGTATACAACTCCAAAATGGATCAATTGAGCTGCTACGCTCTTGATTCTAAGCAAATTTGCTGGATTGTTGTCAGTGACTTCTGAGTTCTGGTAAGTTATCGTACTGGGTTAGTCCATATGCTTTTGGTGCCTTTAGCTTTAGCATATCTGCATTGTATCATTCCCATTCTTGATATATATAAAGTAACTGACGAGAAGTGCTGCTGTGGTTGCAGGTATCAGGAATCAATTCCACTGCACAATGACCAACCCAACATTGCGTGCTGTTTGTACTTACTCATTTTCTTGGTGTTGATGCAGAAGATTGTTGTCTTGTAACCGCAAAAAATATCTTCACACCTACATGGTACGCAAACATAACCCCGATAGCGTGAAGGTTCACCTCTTTCTTCATTTTGCTGATTTAGACGTACGGCCAGAGTCTATCAAAGTAGTTCATGCAAAGCTAAGCAGCACTATAGATCCGACCAAGCTGAACAAGCTTGAAAGCTGTTCCTACAGCTGCTTCACTTTAAACTTGACAAATCCGGTGGCGTGTTTTCGACTTCAACGAGAAAGGCAGCTTCTTACCGCAGTTTGTTTGTATGAAAAGGTTTCGCAATGCAGAAGCTTATTTCATCCAGAAGCTGCATCCGAATGATACGAGTATTCATCACAGTGCTGGTGTTTGTCGTGCCAGCTGCAAGTCACGAGAGTGCAGCATCGACCAACAGCACACGTCTCAATGTTACTGACTACTGGATTGAAGACCATCCGTACGTGTACCTTCCTTACTGGAAGCGCCTTCAAAATGGTAAAATTGTACTGAAGAACGACTCGACCTTCAGTAGCGTACGTGATACAGCTAGGACAAATACGTCATGGATTTCAAGGTGGGTCCTCTCAAGTGAGGGTCAACGCACGCTACGAAAAGATATATCACGGCTGCTGATGTACAATCTAGTGTCTCCCATGGACTACGGGGACTCGCTGCGGTCTAGTAACGTGCGTCGGCGCCGTAACAAAGCGGTACGCATGTTTCTAACAGACAACTTGGCACTTCCAGCCTTGAAAATTTTCGGTCGTGTAGCTTGGAATCTCATTCAAAGTCATTACGTTGACTATTTCAAAGACGAGATGTTCACGCAGCGTTTAAAGACTATGAACGCTAGTGAGATGATACGAGAATTTAACCTCACACTCCCAATAGAGGCGATCGAAGAGATACAAGATGAAGATAGCCGACTAAACACAACGCAGGCATACGAGTATGATGGAGAAAAAAAGCGAGCTCAATTATACAGACAGTACCCGCAGCTTTTGAACCATACGAGAATTACTCGAACCAGTTTTACACCCGAGCCGATACTTTGCCGCCACCCACATTTCCTGCCGACAGCTATCCGTGGCTTTGGTCTTCGCGGCTTAACATGAGTGAGTGAGAAGGTGAGGTATATTTAAGTACGCGTACGACCCATTATATCCTGTCGACAGGTAACAGAGTTACCGTGGCGACTTCTACTTTAAGTACTAGGTATAACTAGTCCTCGGACAGCCGAGCGTCGTCGCGCAGAGTCTTGTCTCGAGATGATCAGGTTCCGTGGCGTCATAGCGGGTCCCTGAGGTTCGTAGTTGTCGGCTTGAGAGGCCTCCAGCCAGTGGTTGACATCATGGTCAAGGAATGCCGAAGCCTCCTTGACAACACCTTCCTCAGCGGAAGCGTGCACTTGAATTGAGGCTCCAGTGTCCATAGCGATATTTGCCAGTCGTTCCGCCATTTTGTTGTATGAGCGATAGTGATGTCCCCAGCTGGAGACATCGATATCGTCAGCAAGTGCTCTTGCCTCTCGGAAAAGAAGGGCCAGGTGTGGCTTGCGTGGAGGATGGTGCGTCCGAAGCTGCGAAAGGACGAGCGCACTGTTCCCCACGACATGGAGAGGTGAGTAGCCGCTAACCTTCGCTTGTCGAAGCCCGTGCACGAGCCCCCAGTATTCAGCGACATTGTTCGTGGTATTTGCAGAACCGTAAGCCATGCTCGATACCCACACGACGCATGCTGCGTGCGTCTGAATGTGAAGTTGGACAATGACGGAACCTGCTCCGCCCGGTCCAGGATTTCCTCTTGACCCCCCGTCGAAGAAGAGCAGGTAAAAAAACCCAGATAGAGTGTCAAGCGGCAGCGCTCGCAAGGGTGGAGGATTGTCAAAGCCGATGAGGGTATCAGCAAGCGCCGACCGTACTCGTGCGAATAGGTATCCGTCTACCCCCATGTCCGACTGATATGTTGAACTTCGAAACCGTGTAACCGCTCGTCGAAATTGTGTCCTTGCTCTTGCGTCGTGTACTTCCTGTGGCAAAAGTGAGTCTTCCAAGCGGCGGAGACGCTCAGCCCAGATGGAATGTAGTGTCGTAGAAACGAGAAAACGCCAGAGCTCACGCGTTGCTGGAAAAACGGCGTCCTTCGCTCGAGACAAATCTACACTGGGTTCGATAGCGTTTTTAATGGCATTCCATGCAGAACTCGGAATACTCGGAAGGTCCATCCCAAACACCCAGACGTGAAGGTCCGCCTCCTCCAAATCGCCTAGCTTTCGCCACCGTTCAAGTAGATAACCCCAATGACGCCGAGCGCTAGGGCAATTCCAGAATACATGACTAGCCATGGCCAGTAAGGATGTCGGACACGCTGGGTCGGGGCAAGATAGATCTTGGTTAGCCCAATTCCATAGCGGGAAGCTGTTACTCTTCAGACGATAAAGCGTCTGCGCGTTGGTCGGGAAAGAAGCCCGTATTTTACGGATGTCTCTCCACTCGATCAGAGATGTACCTGCTGCAATCACTTGGAAGTCCGGCTTCTTCACGCGTTCGTCGCAAATGCGTTTGCCTTCATCACTTCGCCTGCGGGAAATGATCTTTTTGAATTTTCGTCGTTGCGGCCTCCATCTTCGACGGACAGCCCATAGGTGTACAACACGCGTAAGCGTTGGATGCGCACCAAGTGGACAGTAATTCCACTGTCCAGACACGCTGCGGTATCGCAAGCAGCCATAGATGAGACTGTAGCCACCCCACCCGCTATACCCGTGTCGAAGTGCGATACCGATGTACCGTCTCGGTCGAGGAGCCAAGTATGATATTGGTGGACCTTTGTCGAGTACGCCAACAATGCCCCCGATTCAAACGACCTGTATACGAGTGCTGGAAAATTGTATAGAAGGGCAAGGCAGAAGTTCCCAAAATGCCGACGCTTCGCCATAGAGTGGGTAGCCATGTCACGCTTGGGCGAAAATCGGACGATACCACTCTGAGTCGTCTTCCAGGTGAATATGTCGCCAAGGTACTTGTGCCCCCTCGAAAAATCCGCTCCATTCAAAGTATAAGCCTTGCCTCTGCGATCCCTCAGCCACGACATGTCCGTCAGCGTTGCGTGTACGATCCATCTGGGTTCAAAACGACCTGATGTCGCTACTTCAGCTCTCATCCCGGCCCGCAACCTGTCATCAAGTATACGGCGGACATCAATTGTGACACTACCGTCTCCATTATAGTCGATTAAGGCTCTTGATGAAAAAGAGGCGGCCCTTCGGCAGACCTCCTGGACCTCTCCTTGACGGGCATGTCGAGCAGCTGAAAGCCCAACAATTTTAGAACCGGTTAACCATAGCGTCACTTGGAGTCGAGGCTCCTGGTCTTGGGTCCAACATGGCGTGATGTAAGCCGGACCCGAATCAGTAGAGCCCCATAGAAAGTCTCCGATCAGTAAATCTTTCGAAGAAGCTGTAGCTGCCCACTGTCCAACAGCGGTTGCCGCCATAGTCATTAATTCCGTACGAATACACGGCACCGATAGCCCACCTTGCTGTATCGGTAGTGAAGCCATCTCTGAAGGGACCCACGGTCGGGACCTCTTGCCATCATGGACGCCCCATACAAAGTCCATAATTAAGCCCTTTCAATCTATTAATCATGGCGGGAGGTGGCCAGCAGTGCCGTGCTAAGTAGGTAATTTTAGGCACCGCGATGGCGCTAGCGATGCGAGCTCGTTGTTCCACCGTATGAGTCTTCTCTCGTGCTAGTGCAAGTCGACACCATAGAGATCGTATGCATTTACACCAGTTGTCAGCTACCGCATCCTGTTGGCCAACAAGTACACCAAGATACCTGCATGATCCGCTTGAAGACTGTACATTGAGGCCACACTCGTCCAAGGGCAAAGATGATCCGCGAGGGTCAAGCTCAATGATAATAGACTTCGCTCGATTCGTTAGCAGACCGGAAACAGCTGCAAAGTCTTCGAGGATCGTAATAACAGGCAAAACCGCAGACCGATCGCGAAGATAAACCGCCGTGTCGTCAGCGTATCCCGAAATTTTAATGTCAGTGGTTCTCCCCCCAGAAGTAAGAGGTATCCCGCGGATTTCATCCCTCTCTTGAATCACTCGATAGAAACTATCCAAGGAGAGTATAAAAAGAAGAGGAGCAAGAGAGCACCCTTGCCGTATGCCGCAGTGAACGTCACGTCTGCTTGAACGGTACCCATTCACAATAAATCGACATGTCGTGTTTCGGTGTAATGCCGCCACGACTGCTACGAATTTTGGCGAGAAGCCATGCCAAGTCAACGCCGAAAGTAGAAACAGACGTTGCAACGTGTCGTATGCCGTGGAGAAATCGAGAAGAAGAACAATGGATCCGTGTAGATCGCTGTCAGCACTCGCCGCTTTGCGAACCGCCGAAAAAATGTCAAGAGCTGTATGGATCGACCGCTTCGGGACAAAACCAACTTGAGCTGGCAGAACAATATGCGACAGCATCGGCCGAACTCGAAACGAAAGGATCTTTGTAAATAACTTGTAGTCACTGTTGAGAAGCGCGATCGGCCGATGATCAAGAGGCAAGGCGGAAGCCGCGGTTTTCTTCAGACACTGAATGTTCGCTTCACCAAAAGACGTCGGAAACACGCTGCACTCCATCCATCTAGTGTACAGTGCTGCGAGAATTGGCGCGAGCGCGTCAGCATAATCACGGTAAAAGGTGTTGTTGATTTCATCTGGTCCTGCGGCTTTCCCACGTTAAAGTCTCTTCAAAGCCGCACACACATCTTCAGGAGATATAGCTGACGTCACATTAGAGTCATCAATCCGGACCGGTGTGGAGGCTCGTTCCAGAAATGCAGCGGTAGCATCTGGACAATCAAAAAATTGAGTCATAGATGCTCCCAGCCGTCTGCCATTTCATTTGCCAATTCCTGCGACCGATTCGACCCGTATGTAGCTTGTCCACCCAAAGAAACGATAGTGTTGTCCTGAAATTTTGTCGACACCCGCGCGAAGAAACGACGAGAAGTCTCGCCTGGAGAGTATGTGTGCTGGACAAGAAGTCGCTCTTTCTTGGTTCTCTGCCATAATCGTCGACACTCCGCAACGTTTCGACGAAGTTCCGCAGGATTATCGACGGGGCTGGGTTGGTCGCATATCGTTTGAGCACACGCTATTGAGGTAGCTGACGAGCGCGCCTCCAATAGCGCCGCATCCAGACGGACATAGAGGCGCTTCAGCCGCTGTCTGTAGCTGCGCGTCAGACCTTGGCGGGCTGTCTTTGTAGTCGCCACAAGAACTTTGCGTAACTTGATCTTCCATCCATCCCACCAGTCGGCCAATCGTCTAGCCGTTCGATAGTCCGACGTCGGAACTGAGCTGGATTCATCAACTTCAATCTGTGCCAGCTCAATGGCCTAAATAATGGCGCTGGTCGCGGCCGCTTGTGCACAGCCCGGCACTGGATATACGCGCCGTGGCTTACGTACGCGCACAACATGACTTGGTGCCCCAATCCGTATACTGATTCCATTGTGGTCAGCGGCTGGGCCAGGTACAGACAGATCGACGTCTCGAACCCAATCAGCATGAAGAGCACTCACGTACCACCGATCAAGTCGAGAACTGGCTGATCCACCTTCAGGCAAATTGTAGAAATAGGTGTGTGCCGCCGCATGAAAGGCTGCTAAGGCCCTCTCTTCTTCCGCTCGCTCCATGTCATCTTCGAGTACATCGCAAAGTTGTGCGCGACCTAGAAGCCGTCTCAGCGCCTGCGAATCATGTCTGCCGGGCGGCGAGACAAAAGATCGGTCAAGTCGAGGCACCAATGTGCAGTTAAAATCCCCGCCCACGAACAAGGGTCCGTCGTGATCCAGCAGGTGATGGCGAAGCATCTCGAAAAACGCTTCCCGTTCAGGCTTACCACTCAGGGCGTATACGTTGACAACAAGAACTGTCTCGCTTCGAATATTAATTTGAACAGCCATCCAGTGCGGTGTCCAATGTATCTCATGCCACGGTTCCATCTCAGTAATCGACGAGTACGGATTCAGTAAAATCGCAACCCCTCCACGCGCTGCTTCGGACTCGGTCCATCGAGTGCGTCCGGGCTTGTCC